AGAAGATTGAAAAGAAGTGAGTGTGCTTCCATCCTCTGTCATCTCTTTGTTGTTTTCACGTTTCAGCTTCACTAAACTTGTCTCTGTTTGATTTTTTTTTTCCTTTTCCTCTTCATCCATCTCCTCGTCGTTCCCTCGTCTTCTGCCCCGACAGGGACACTGCTCGCCTTGTCATCCGTAAAATCCAGTACGCCCCCTCTCAGGTGGGCGCTGGGCCAAAGGCTGAACTCTGCAAAAGCTTCATGATGTCTGACAAGCCTGTTCACCTAGAAGCTTCAATGGACAAAGATGTAAGTGGCAAAACTTTAAGAGCATTTTTCAGCCGTATGCTCAACTTCAACTGTCTATACAGTGAGGAAATGTGCTTTCTGAATTTCCCACAGCTCTACTTTCACGGTGAAGACATCCCAATCAAAATCAAAATCAAAAACGAGAGCAACAAAACAGTCAAGAAAATCAAAATCAGTGGTGGGTACCTCTGTTTACAGATGTGCTTTTAAACAGATTGAATCCTGTGACTGTTACAAAGAGCACAACACAATCATCTGTCTTCATTTCCCTCCTTTCACAGTGGACCAAACCACAGATATCGTCCTCTACTCAGCAGACAAATACACCAAGGCTGTTCTGACCCAGGAGTTCGGGTACGTGAAGAGAAAAATAAAAGTATCACAGAAATGCAAGTAGAGAGTTTGGCATGTTTATGTGTGGATTTCTTTGCATTTAATCCTCGACAGAGAGACTGTGGATCCCAACGGCAGCTACGACAATACTTTGACCATCAAGCCCCTGCTGGCTGAAAACAAAGAGAAGAGAGGTCTGTCGCTGGATGGGCGACTGAAGGATGAGGACACTAACTTGGCCTCAACCACGATGTGAGTGTCTCAGAGCAGCAGATTTGACGATTAGTTTGGACAAAGCAATTCTCTCTTCTGCACCTTTGCATACAAGGCCGCTTCTGGTTTTATGTTTACAGTAGCTCTTCTTGCATGCCAGCGTTCACGATGTCTTATAGTAGCACACTTGACTAAATTAAACTTTCTAATCCTTCAAATCCTTGTAATTCCTCCTCCACAGGCTGCGACAGGGTGTAGAGAAGGACGTGTTGGGAATCCTGGTTTCCTACAAGATTAAAATTAACCTCATGGTGGCCGGAGGAGGGTGAGTGATTTTTTAAAAAAAATAAAAATTTAATTAAAGATTAAATAGAAATAAAATGAGCTAAAACTAACTTGTGATGTCTTCCTTGTTGTCCTGCAGCCTACTGGGCGGCCTCACTGCCAGGTGAGTAGCATCCATTTAGCAGTTACATGACAGCGCATGTAGCCAAACAGCAGCAATCGTCAATTGTCTGTCTATTCTGATTGGTTGTTTCATTTTCCTCCACAGTGATGTCACAGTGGAACTGCCATTGATGCTCATGCACCCCAAGCCTGAAGGTAATTTTTTTTCTGATAACACAGATTTGTCTGGCTAGTGTGTAGCAACTACAAGTGCACCTTACAGTTTAAATGCTCGGTTTACTAATAATTGGACTCTTTTATTGTGTCACTCTCTTCCTTTGTATTCACCGTCCATCCAAACTGACCAGAGTAAAGGCTGCACATCAGTGTAAGTGATGTTTAATACTTCTATTTTTGGCATTATTCCCTAAAAAGCATATAATTCAGATTTATTTTACAAGTTAAAGTCAGCTGGGAGGTGATATTTTACAGTTCTTACACGTTTTGATGTCCAGGAGGAAATTCATAAGTTACCTGGAAAAATATAAAGTTATCTAAATCAGGGTAAACATCACCACCTGCAACACTGAAGTGATGGAAACTTAATGCAATAATTAAAACTTAACAATATAATGCAGATTATAATCAGTAATGACATAGTAATACATTTTATTTATCTGACACTATAAGAGTACTGAAAGAAGTCATTGTGCAGTATTCACTGTAAAAAATAAATAAATAAATAAAAAAGAATCACTTAAAAAATGAAGAAAATCTGCAACAAGGGTGAAGAAAAAATACAATTTTAAAAACAGTACAATAAAAAAATCTAACAAGCAGCAGTTACTATTTGTACCTCAAACACAGTATTTACTGTCTTTATTAATTTACTAATTTGTTGATTAGAATATAATGAAAAATACATACAATGCATAAAAACATTTTTTAAAAATCACTTATGCAGAAGTATCCACCATACGCATATAATAGAAGCAAACCTAAAAATTATCACCTAAAAATATCAGAAAAATGCAGTAAATTTGTTATAATTGGCATTAAAAATACAATAAAAGTTCTGCAATTTAACATGATCAAATCCTTTTAGTACAGAAACAGCAGTTAAAAAGTTGCCATAAAACCCCTTTAAAGCAGAAATCAATTTTGAGACATTATTTATAATTTTGTTCTGTTGTTCTCTTTCTTACGACTAACGTGTAAAATAACAGTTAATCATTCAAAGAAAAAAAATATACAGTTTAAAGGTTTAAAAAGAAACAGTATACTTTTTGACAGTGTGCATGCTGTGTTGTGACTTATTTTTGTGTTTACTTGTTTCCAGAGAGGATGTTACCCTGGAGGTTGAGAAAACACCCACATAAAGGCAGGAAGACAACAAAGGGAAGTGACACAAAGCAAAGAAGAATGTGAAAGGTGCCCTGAAACCAAAAAACAATAAAACCGAGCAACTGAAGAGAACGACCTTTTTAACACACCAAGGACATACGAATGGGTGTAACATCAGTCCCCTCACAGATTTTGTTGTTCAATTGTTGTCATTTAGCTCTAGAGAGAGTTTTTGGATTGTAAAGTAGTATCCCACATTCATGCAAACCAGAGACTTCCGTAGAAACAAACCATAATATATGTACATATGATAACTCTTCACCTATTTTGGGAATATGAGTGTAAGAAAATAGATCAGTTTGAAGCCCATAAAATGCAATGTGCTTTTGACCACTGTGCTACACCCTTCTGTTGTTCTGAATGATGTGTTTCTTTCTGTGAAATGTACCAGAATCATTCTGACCGGACACATCCAACAGCTCAAAATACAATAAAATTCATTTAAGAACTTAGTTTTTGTGATGTGTTTCTTATTCTTTCTTTTCCCTGATTTGCTTGTTTGTTTGTTTGTTGCTTGGCTGTCAACTTACAACACTACCCATATACTCTATATAATGTCTGTAGTTTGTTTTTCTGTGCATCCAGTTGTTTATCTGTCAGAAAGCTGCCCCAGCTATGAGTGGGAGTAAATAAATGTTAGAACACTACTTTGGGACAAGGCCTCTTTATGAGGGTCTCTCCTCGTGGTGCTGAAACATTCAACATTCATATGTTTTTCATATTTTAGATAAGATACGATAATAATATTATAAAGACAAGATTAAGGTATTGATCCCACAGTGGACACATTTGTGTGTTACAGCAGAAAAGATGCAAACATTTCAGGAATGTGGTACAGAAATAAAAATAGACCAAAATATACATAAGTACCAGTACTAAAAGTAACATTATTGCACATATCAGTGGTATTCCATGTATTTATGATGGATAGAAATACTGACAGAGTATTAATATTGCACAGATTGTCTATGTTGCACAGATTAGTGTGGAATAGCTAAATAGCCAATATTCTAGTATATGGGGAAAAAAACAGGGTTTTTAAAGTACAAAAATATTTATCACTCACAGCATGTGTTGATATTGTACCAAAGAGAAGTATGACAATTTGTGTATCATTGAAAAACAATTATGTGCCAGTTCTGTACTAGATATTAATTGTAGACTGATTTGTAAGCTTTCGGTGTTGACTGTATATAGCTGTAGGAATATGGTGCTCATAGGGCTGTCCATGTGATAGGTTATCATTATTTCATTTCAAAGTACCAGAAGTCTTTTAATATTTAGACTGTGTAACATATTCCATCAAAATAAACACTTCTAAATTATAACTTTGTTCAGAATGGTGCGGTGGCTGGGTGTCTAATGCATGAAGAGTCATAGTAAATACCTTCTTTAAAGACCCTCTCTAGCAAAAATCCATTTTATTTTTTCACTTAATTAACATGTCCATATGGTGTTTTTTTTATATGCCAGAAGATACATCATAAACAAAATTAGCAATCGACTTAATTGCTGAGCATTTACATCCTGAAATTGCAGTGCACCAATGAGTCTGAAAAACACGGATTCAGACTTTATATATTCTAAGCGAATGAAACCAGTACTCTCAACTTGCACGTTGGGGCGTTCTGTAGCATTCTTCTTCTTCTTCTTCACAATCTGTTTCTGGTTCAAATATGAGTGGATGAATTATTCCCATAATGATGCTTGCTGTTGTGTAGTGTAGAGTGCTTTCACAGTGTTTGAGCAGAATTGTAGGTGAGCTGGTGTGCTGAGCTGCAGTGGAGGTGGGTGAAGAAAGAGGCAGAAAACAGAGAAGAGCTGTGAGGAGTCACATCTAGGCCAAGAACCTTCAAAATGTGTTACTTTGACACACACAGATGATTTTTTGGGGGGTTAAATCAACAACTGAATTCAGATTATAAACCACCTTATCCAACCAACTACCATGAAACTTTGTGAGAGTGACATTTCCTTATAATTGCTTTATTTCTAACATTTTATTCATATTATTTTAGAATGTGTTGGTTACATTTTTGGTGTATTTGGTAATAGAATCAATCATTTACAGCCATTGGAAACACTTCAGTTCAGACTTTGCAAGTGCCACTTTTTCTAAGAAGGACAGAAGAAACTAACTCTACAAAGCTTTTTCTCTGTCCACTTAATTTTAAAAAGTCACAAGAAAAATTGTACAAAAGTCGCCTGATACATTTGTACAATGTATGTGTTTCCTCTAGTCAGCAGGTTACTGTAATTTCAACAAATAACGGAGGAGGCGCTGTTCACCAGCAAGGTGGCAGCAACCCAGTTTTTGACAAACGAAGAAGAAGAAAACGCCTGGCGGCTCTGACGTCATCACGCACAACGTGTAGCCCTGAAGCAACATGGCTTTGAATGGAGGTTTGTGAACTTATCTTACACACAAGTCAACGTTAATACTGCTCATATTCACCCGTATTGTTGTTAAATAACAAATTAGGCGCACATATAGGCAACTGTTCTCGTGTGTTATTTTATTTTTGCTGAGATTTGTCGTCGCCATCACGTAAATATCGTTAGCTAGACGATAGCACGGTTGATTTGCTAGCTAGCTTGTCAATATTTCCTAGCAGAGCCCCTCGGATGTGATGTTAGAAACAGCACAACCTTGGCAAAAAATCAAACAAGTGCAAACGACTAATGAATTCTAAAGACTACACTCGGCAGTAGAGATAGCCAGCATGTATAGACGCGTTACAGCAATGCTAAGGACTGTTCATGAGTAATGTTACACTTGTATATGTGCTTATAACAATTTGGTAGCTTGTATGTGTGGGTGCAATACACTTAAATGAAATCAACACCTTGCTATTGAACCGCAGATGACGAGGACTTTGAGTGGGAGCCTCCAACAGAGGCGGAGATGAAGGTGATCCAGGCTCGAAGGGAGCGACAAGACAAAATCAGCAAGCTGATGGGAGATTACCTGCTGAAAGGATACAAAATGCTGGGAGAGTGCTGCGATGTATGCGGGGTGAGTCGAGTGGACTGTTTCATTGCATTTATGGGGGCAGCCTTGCCTTTTTATAGAAAATATGGAGTGGCATTAAATGTGTGTTGATTTGTGTTTCCAGACTATTCTTCTTCAGGACAGACAGCAGAAAAACTACTGTGTCTCGTGTCAGGAGCTGGACTCTGATATTGACAAGGACAACCCTGGTATACACAGCTCACACACGCTCAGTTCATGCCTAGAGGGGTGTACTACGAAGCAAGTTTGACATAGCGGGGCTTTCTTTGTGTAAGCTGGCATGACGAAACATAAAACCCCAGTTAGAGATAACGGGTATCGTGGTGGTTATCAACTTTTTTCATGAGCACAGCCTTTCTTCACCAGACTCTGTGCGTGCTCTGATAAAAGAGGACTCTTCTTCCACACTAAATGGACAGATTGCATTCACCCTACTATGAACGTTTATTACAACAAAAAGTTGTGTCACAACAAAAGATACAAGAGAGGAATGCTGGTAGAAATTGTTAATATATTTATTTTAGTACTGGGTGTGTTTTAAATGGAGCCGCTTATTTCTAAGATGACAGCTGCACATTGAAGCTCCTAAACTTGATACATTATATTGTGATACTCAAGAAGCTCATGTAGGTTTTTAGAAGTTTGCAGATATCACATATTCCCTCAGAATGTTTTATTGCTCATAGATTATTTTGAGCAGTGGGGATTCTGTAAAACAGAACTGGTGAAAGTGTGCTGCTTCTTACAGCCAATTTAAATCCCAAACTCTGAACATGACCCCCTCTGTAGTAGGTTGATGTGCATCATCAGTTACCATGGTGATCTAAACACCTTTTCTGAGATTCAGAACTCAACATACCTTGTTCACATATTCATCTTGCCTCATAGTACATCCCTCTGGCGTAAAAAAACGTTTTCTCTACTATCTTTACATTTTGCTTTTAATTTATTTCTCATTTCCTCCATCACTACTCCTCTTGCCTTGTACCTTGAAAAAAATGCTACTTGCTCATGTTCCAATTTCTCCCTTTCCTCACTCCTGTCAGCTCTGAATGCCCAGGCTGCGTTGTCTCAGGTGAGAGAGAGGCAGCTTGCAGCCCAGTCCCCTGCACCGTCCCAGGCCCCTGAACTCAATGGAGGTCCCTCCAGCAGTCAGCCAAGTGTGTCAGTTCCTCAGCCCAGACCGGAGCACTGTGAGGGGGCTGCCGCTGGGGGAAGAGGCCTCCTGCCTCCACCTGCTGTCCCTTCTCCTTCAGCTGCCCCCTCCACCGCAGCCCTGGCGCCCGCTCGTCCCGCTGTTAGTCCACAGAGCCCTGCCCTCCGACCGGTGTTGCAAGAAGCTGAGGAAGCTGTTCTCACCAAACTTCGCTGGGCCACTACCCAGTTGCAGGGTTCAGCCTCCCTGGAGGCAAGTATCCAGCTCTGCAGCCTCATCACCAGCTGTGCCAACTCACTGCGCAGCCTCAAGGAGCTCAGCCAGTAACCACAGCGGACTAGCTGAAACTATGGGGTGATGGGAACGCTGTTTCTACTTGCCTCTGTCTTGGAATACTGACTCTGGTTCAGCATCTCTCTTTTTGTCTGAATCCTTGCTTAGAGCTGAATTCAAAATTGGTCAGAAAATGCACTTGGAAAGAGGATAAAAATGTCGAAAGTGCGCAGGTTACTCCTGGGTTAATGTAGTTAAACAGCTGGCAGAAATATCGTGTTACATGCTCATTTCAATGTTTTTGTCAATTTGTAAATTATAATTACAAAAATGCAACATTTTCAAACCATCAGGCATAAATGAATTCATCATTTTACCACAGAAAAAACAGTGCTTACATGTGCCCATAGCTGGTTGGCTCTGGTTAATCCACACTCCTGGGAAAATTGAATTTTTCTTCGATTGGTTGTTTGCCAAAAAGGGTGCTGGTTTGTCAATCACCAAATATGAAAAAAAGCTTAAAAAAAAAAAAAAAAAGTTCCAGTGCACACATGTCTGTATAGTGTGTCTGTACAGGAGGAGTCTGTGCTGACAGACAACATGCTGCTGGATTGTAGGACATGAAGTAAAATTTATAGCATGTTGTGAAACACACCAGACTTCTAAATATGGCCCTGGTTTCTCACAGAAACAGTTATTTTTTTCTATTTGCTGCTCACTCTGACTCCCACACAGATTTCCGTTGTCTCCGACCTTCTGTTATTGCAAAGATTAGTTATTGTGCGCTGAGGTTAAATATATTTGATGCATGATGGTCATGTGGTTCGGTGACGCTCAGATGAGACAGTGAAGCACTCAGGAGTCAGATTCATTATTCATTGAAACCATCTGAAGTAAAATAACTGTGCATTGTACATCAATAGACTGCACTTCATGTTAGACTAGCCAGCTTCAGTGTTGATCAAGGTAGTTAGAGTTTTCTAAGAATATGCCAGAATAAAGCTTTTCCTCTTCAGGAATTCTGCAGCTTGTTTCTTTCCACAAGAGGGCGCAAAACTTCCAAGAACAATGCCATAAAGTTTGTTAATTGAACTGTTGTGTGTTGAAGCAAGTACAGTTTTAAGTATCAATAAACAAGTAAAATGCATTTCTGTTTTAAATGTGTTACAGTTGGACCTGCAGCTTTGCTCTTGCGCTTCTGTCTCTGCAGAACTATGACACAAGTACAGGCTTGTCTGGGATTTCAACTTGCATTGCCACATTTAGACGCATGTATTTCTCGTTTCTTTTAATTTGTGTAGTGTAATACAACAGTCTGCCTAATTACGGCAGTGTTAAGATGATCGGTCCAGGACAGCATGAGCCTGAGCTGCAGCCAAAGCTCAGCCGTAATCCTGTTAAATCAAAGCAGCCAGAGACGGTCTGACAGCAGCGCGGCGTGGCGAGGTCACGTCGGGGCGGAGCAGGTTGCTGTGAAACACAAAGGAGAGAACAAAACAAAGCCCGGAAGCCTGACATTCACCGCACGATAAACCGCCTCCACTGTCGCTCAATCACATCCAGACCACTTTGCCTCTGGGACGCGTAATTTCCAAAAACACGAGCTCCTGTCTTGTGACGAGAAAACAGATTGCATGTGTGATGCTCAAGACTGTGTGATCCTGCTTTTTCTCTTTTGGTTTTTTTTTTTTTTTTTTACACGCGCAAAAACTCAGCTGTCTGCTGCTGCGGCGCGTCGGGATGGACCGGAGTTGGCGCAGCGCGGCGGACAGTCCGGTGGGCGGTGTCCTCTCGGCGGAGGGGCTGCCGCCGCTGCCCAAAGGCCTGATCGGCATCCTGAACTCCAGCGGCGGGTCGTGGCGGGACATCGAGAAGGTTCACAGCAAGAGAGCCCGCATCCAGGCCGACATCAGCCGAGGGGACGCGCCGAGGGATCCCGGCAAGCCCGGCGGACTGGACGCTGCTCTGGCTCTGCTGCGGAAAGAGATGGTGAGCTGCGTTTTCTTCCTGATAATCTTTAAAGTGTGTTTCTTTGGGACGTGTGTGCAGTGGTGGAGCCAGATCATTTTTATTATTATTCATGATAGGATGGTGTCTCCTACATTTTCCCACCAATAAATTGTTGTAAAATAGGATACAATGAGCCTTTATTAATTCCATAGTGGGAAAATTTGCAGTGTTACAG